ATTAGTATCATATAAAGTACAGGAAATAGGCTTATACGTGTTTTTGTCTCTATGTTATATGATATAGAAAGGTTATAACAAAAATTATAACTTTAATCTTCGAGACATGTTATCTGAAATAAGCGTTTTCAGTAATTACAGTAGGACATTGTGTTTTTCTATGGTGGTGTCAGAGAGTTATCAGTAATTACAGTAGGACATTGTGTTTTTCTATGGTGGTGTCAGAAGTTGTCAGTAATTACAGTAGGACATTGTGTTTTTCTATGGTGGTGTCAGAAGTTGTCAGTAATTACAGTCGGACATTGTGTTTTTCTATGGTGGTGTCAGAGAGTTATCAGTAATAACAGTCGGACATTGTGATTTTCTATGGTGGTGTCAGAGAGGTATCAGTAATTACAGTCGGACATTGTGATTTTCTATGGTGGTGTCAGGGACTTATCAATAATTACAGTCGGACATTGTGTTTTTCTATGGTGGTGTCAGAGAGTTATCAGTAATTACAGTAGGACATTGTGATTTTCTATGGTGGTGTCAGAGAGTTATCAGTAATTACAATAGGACATTGTGTTTTTTCTATGGTGGAGTCAGGGAGTTATCAGTAATTACAGTAGGACATTGTGTTTTTTCTATGGTGGTGTCAGAGAGTTATCAGTAATTACAATAGGACATTGTGTTTTTTCTATGGTGGTGTCAGAAGTTGTCAGTAATTACAGTAGGACATTGTTTTTTTATGGTGGTGTCAGAGAGTTATCAGTAATTACAGTCGGACATTGTGTTTTTTCTATGGTGGTGTCAGAGAGGTATCAGTAATTACAGTCGGACATTGTGTTTTTCTATGGTGGTGTCAGAGAGTTATCAGTAATTACAATAGGACAGTGTGTTTTTCTATGGTGGTGTCAGGGAGTTATCAGTAATTACAGTCGGACATTGTGTTTTTTCTATGGTGGTGTCAGAGAGTTATCAGTAATTACAATAGGACATTGTGTTTTTTCTATGGTGGTGTCAGAGAGTTATCAGTAATTACAGTCGGACATTGTGTTTTTTCTATGGTGGTGTCAGAGAGTTATCAGTAATTACAATAGGACATTGTGTTTTTTCTATGGTGGTGTCAGAGAGCTATCAGTAATTACAGTAGGACATTGTGATTTTCTATGGTGGTGTCAGGGAGTTATCAGTAATTACAGTCGGACATTGTGTTTTTCTATGGTGGTGTCAGAGAGTTATCAGTAATTACAATAGGACATTGTGTTTTTCTATGAGGGAGTCAGGGAGTTATCAGTAATTACAGTCGGACATTGTGTTTTTTCTATGGTGGTGTCAGAGAGTTATCAGTAATTACAGTCGGACATTGTGTTTTTCTATGGTGGTGTCAGGGAGTTATCAGTAATTACAATAGGATATTGTGTTTTTCTATGGTGGTGTCAGAGAGTTATCAGTGATTACAATAGGACATTGTCTTTTTCTATGGTGGTGTCAGGGAGTTATTAGTAATTACAATAGGACATTGTGTTTTTCTATAGTGGTGTCAGAGAGTTATCAGTAATTACAGTCGGACATTGTGTTTTTCTATGGTGGTGTCAGAGAGGTATCAGTAATTACAATAGGACATTGTCTTTTTCTATGGTGGTGTCAGGGAGTTATTAGTAATTACAATAGGACATTGTGTTTTTCTATAGTGGTGTCAGAGAGGTATCAGTAATTACAGTCGGACATTGTGTTTTTCTATGGTGGTGTCAGGGAGTAATCAGTAATTACAGTCGGACATTGAGTTTTTCCTATGGTGGTGTCAGAGAGTTATCAGTAATTACAGTCGGACATTGTGTTTTTTCTATGGTGGTGTCAGAGAGTTATCAGTAATTACAGTCGGACATTGTGTTTTTCCTATGGTGGTGTCAGAGAGTTATCAGTAATTACAGTCGGACATTGTGTTTTTTCTATGGTGGTGTCAGAGAGTTATCAGTAATTACAGTCGGACATTGTGTTTTTCTATGGTGGTGTCAGAGAGTTATCAGTAATTACAGTAGGACATTGTGATTTTCTATGGTGGTGTCAGGGAGTAATCAGTAATTACAGTAGGACATTGTGATTTTCTATGGTGGTGTCAGGGAGTAATCAGTAATTACAGTCGGACATTGAGTGTTTCTATGGTGGTGTCAGGGAGTAATCAGTAATTACAATAGGACATTGTGATTTTCTATGGTGGTGTCAGGGAGTAATCAGTAATTACAGTCGGACATTGAGTGTTTCTATGGTGGTGTCAGGGAGTAATCAGTAATTACAATAGGACATTGTGTTTTTCTATGGTGGTGTCAGAAGTTGTCAGTAATAACAGTAGGACATTGTGTTTTTATGGTGGTGTCAGAGAGTTATCAGTAATTACAGTAGGACATTGTGATTTTCTATGGTGGTGTCAGAGAGTTATCAGTAATTACAGTCGGACATTGAGTGTTTCTATGGTGGTGTCAGAGAGTTATCAGTAATTACAGTCGGACATTGTGTTTTTTCTATGGTGGTGTCAGAGAGTTATCAGTAATTACAGTCGGACATTGTGTTTTTCTATGGTGGTGTCAGAGAATTATCAGTAATTACAGTAGGACATTGTGATTTTCTATGGTGGTGTCAGGGAGTAATCAGTAATTACAGTAGGACATTGTGATTTTCTATGGTGGTGTCAGGGAGTAATCAGTAATTACAGTAGGACATTGTGATTTTCTATGGTGGTGTCAGGGAGTTATCAGTAATTACAGTAGGACATTGTGTTTTTCTATGGTGGTGTCAGAGAGTTATCAGTAATTACAATAGGACATTGTGTTTTTCCTATGGTGGTGTCAGGGAGTTATCAGTAATTACAGTCGGACATTGTGTTTTTTCTATGGTGGTGTCAGGGAGTTATCAGTAATTACAGTTGTAGATTGTGTTAAATTGTGTTATGCTTTTGTCTTGTGCGAGGAGTTGTTGTTACTGTTTGGTACACTATTCTTCGATATTCTTGCATAATCTTGGGGTTGACGCCAGTAGTTTCTAGGAGACATTTTCTATTGTGGGATGAGAATAGTGTAGCGTGCATATTAAGACGAGAATTACACATTAATTGCAAAATTTCACCAATATACACGGTTCAATGATCTGTATACTGAAGAAAAATGATTTAATAGATAACATGTTTTTTCTATACTGTTGAATACACAAACGCTGCATATACGAAATCTTATGTCGCTCTATAATTATTTACTTATGAGAAAAATACACAGTGACGTCATAGTATATATGACGTCAACATTGCTGTTTGTTAAGCATCTGAAGATTTAGAAACGAATGTGCTTATGCTTAACTGTTGTGTTTGCAATAAGTTTTTTTCCAATATATATATATATATATATATGTAACAGAGGTCATTATTTATTTCAATGCCTCCACTAGGAATCGAACAAGGGACTCCTAGCTTACTAGCCTGCCGCTCAACCAATCGAGCTAAAGAGAATTTCTCTCTAGCCAAGTGGTATATTGCGGCTAGTATTTTACCAGGGTTACATATATACCATTGCTGTTCAAAAGGACCTGTGGTTCAGTAGTATCAATGTCATTCATTGTCAAGCTAACTCAAACAAGACCGTTCGTTATTTAAATAGAGATTATTAAAATTTTAATCACTTTGCATTGAAAAGTAAATGATATATAATAGGTATATACAAAGTGTAAACAACGCTGGTGTATGAACTATTTATCTAACAGATCAGTGCACATACCGGCATTGAACGACCGATTTTTGTAATACCGATATCAACAATAGGCACAAAACCGAATGGGCACCGGAGATCCCCACTAATGTGCTGGACTTGTTGGGTCACGCTTGCAGACACCTACTTACCAGAAAAAGGGTACCACAGACACGAGCTTTCTGAAAAGAGATACCAAAGACAGGAGTTTTCAGAAAAGGGTATCAAAGACAGGAGTTTTCAGAAAAGAGATACCAAAGACAGGAGTTTTCAGAAAAGAGATAACAAATACAGGACCAATCAGGAAAGGGGTACCAAATACAGGACCAATCAGGAAAGAGGTACCAAATACAGGACCTATCAGGAAAGGGGTACCAAATACAGGACCTATCAGGAAAGGGGTACCAAATACAGGACCAATCAGGAAAGGGGTACCAAACACAGGACCTATCAGGAAAGGGGTACCAAGGGCTACTGAGACAGGGCCTTTCGGAAAATAGCTACTACGGAAAAGGCACATAAAAAGGTTATCAAAAAGACTCTTAAGAGAAATGCGTTTTACAGACAGTACGTATGAGAAAAAGGCGCTAAAGAGATTTAAAAGAAAATGCCAACTACATTGATTCGAAAGGGTAGAGAGTGCATCACCTCACCTGACGCAATCACGTTTGAGCAATGAGGTGTTGTTATATCTAAAATAATATATATAATAATATCTAGAATTTTGGTCTGGCGAAGGTACTTTGTCTATTGGTTATAATGATTGTGATTACCTATTTGATTGGGGAATTTATCTGGAATCTGGTCCAGACAGCAGTAAACTGTCACAAGTCAAAATTACGACATACGAACCTCAAACTGTCATCAGATCAAACAAACATTCTGTGTTTCCTGTTCGCGTGCTGTACGACATCGTGACAACGTCTAAAAATGGCATAAGCGATGATATTGTAGGCCTGGGCAAAAAATGACGTTATTGAGTTTCTTGAAAGAAAATACTTTCAATTTATAGACAATAACAAACAATGTATCGACGTCTTTGACGTTTTAGCGTTGGATTTCTGATGAATATGTTATACCGATTGTCAAGAATGTGTACGCAGTATTGACATATTCGAAGCGGTCTTTAGCCAGGACAAGGAGACATTTTTACAAAGTCAAGTCATGCTTTCTGTTTATCAGTCCTGACCTTGCGAAACCAAAGTATCAAAGATTACATACGTCAACAATGTGTTTATGTTTACTGTATGACAAATTATTTCCACACGTATTTATTTCTTGCAGAAACATGACATTGGAATCTGAGCTTCAAAATCTGAGAAAGCAGATCGATCGTTTGAATAACCAGGTTGGGGAACTGGAAGGAGAGAACGGGGGACAGAGACGTGCGATTGAATCGGCTGAGGATGAAATTAAACGACTCAGGATGGATATTGATGATCACAAGATGAAATTGGAAGACGCACGAAATGTATGTAATCAGGACTGACTTCCTGTATATACACCAATAATACTGTTATTCATAAAACATTGTATTCCTATCGTCTAATAAGTTGGATGAGAGATGGTGAACAACAGATGAAGCTATCTTTGTCGTCACATAATATTACCTTAATCATATTTCATTCTTTTTAACGCAGAACTTAGAGGATGAATGCAAGCTGCGCATTGAGGCAGAGTGCGCCAGAAACTTATCTATCGATGAGCATGAATTCATGATCTCACTGTTAGAAAAGGTGAGTTTTTCTTAAGATGGATACGATTTATTATAAAGTTCACTTTAGCATACAACGTCTTGAACTATATGATATTAAACTAATTGTGTTTTAAATGATCAATGAAAGAAAGTCTGTTTTTACAAACGTTTCGACTATGATAGTATAATTATTGGAATTTTGCTAAAAGCGGAGAATTAAACACAATATAATAAAAGCGGTATCCATTCGCAGGAGATCGAAGAGTTGAAAAAACTGATGAATAACGATGTCGGACAGCTTGACATCAAAAACATGTGGAAGGGGGAGATAACCTCATGCATCAAGTCACTGCAAGAAGACAACGAAAGAGAGCTAGCCAAGATCAAGGCCGATTACCAAGCTAGATATGAACTGCAGGTACGGATTTATTATACAGTTTGTAAGCTATTAAGATAGAAAAAGCAACACGAGAGAACTAATTGTACTGCTGCATGATTTAATTGATAAAAACAGCCTAGATGTGAAACAAAGTCGCTGTCAAACACTACTAGTAGAAACAGTCTAGATGTGAAACATAATTACTGTCAAACACAAAAAACAGTCTAGATGAGAAACAAAAGTACTGTCAAACACACCTAGTAAAACAGACTATTTGTGAAATAAGGTTAAGGCAAAATTACATATGATAAAGTATAATATGATTAATTAAATATAAAAATCGATATCCGTTGAGAACCATTCCCATTGCTTGATATTCAGGCTCAACAACTGGCCTCTAATAACATGAGAGATAATGCATCCATGGCCAAGCTTGAATCGGAGATCACGAGACTGAAGAACAAGCATAGCGACCAAGGACCTATGATCGCAGAACTGACTGCTAAGGTAAGCAATTTCATCCTTTCAGTTCGTTTCGCACTATGTGCGAAGGAGAGTTTAACAGCAATTTCGAACAGAAACAATCAAATATCATGTTCTGTATGGGCGATTGGATCACGTCGACTTGATGTGGAGCACATGCTGCGTTTTCAATCATTAATGTCATCTATTTTCTTTATTGTAACAAAGGGAGTTTTAAGACGTGAGGACACTGATACAGAAGTTCACTATCGCATTTTAACGTGTACACATAATCTTTTTACGTTTAAGTTGAACAATGCACTTGCTGAAAAAGATAAACTGCGTGAGGAACTCGATGAAATAATGGATAGGCTGGAAATGGAAAAGGCTGAGCATATGAAGGACGTACACGGCCTTCAGGATGAACTGCACATTCTTATGGAGAAATTCAGAGACTTACAGGATGCCAAGTTGACCCTTGAGACTGAAATCAGCACTTACAGGAGGCTGCTGGAAGGCGAGGAAGACAGGTAAATTGTGTTCGTCCTAATACGTGATATTATAAGCAGGATTCGAAAGTGTACTATTCTAAGTGAAAGTTTTAAAGATTCTCTCTATGTACATGTTAGATACTTAAAACATGATGAAGCTCACGTTGACGCTAGCGAATTAGTAAGTCAGTTACACTCGGTAAGATAGCGTTATTGCTATCCATGCATGCATCCATATTACGGACAAGTACTTCCCCATTTGCCAATTTCGCCAGCTGGGTTGAAAACACCATTTTGTAATGCTAATTGCAACCTGACATTGGTGAGTCGTCTTATATACAGATACATGTTACAGCGAATTCTATTGTAAGGCTTGGTTGTTTATTCTGCGACAACATATCTATGTGATTTTCTTAAAATATAGAATATACAGAAAGTGGGATACACTTTAGGCGAACAAATGCAATAAAATCAATGTGCATACTTTTCCATCATTTATAGTATAGCCTGTCATGAAATATTTCTATCAATTTATCAAAAAATGACATGTCTATGAATGTATCTACTTGCAATGACAGTCAAATCTACGCCCAAAGTATCACCAATCAGTTCATGGCGAATGAAATCAGTGTCGGTCAGCGTAGTAGTAACCCCGAATCGGGTTTAGTACTGGGTGAGATGTTGTGAAATCAACTAAGTTTGTGATCAGGCAATAACCAACTGCTATACAGACTTTTTAGGTTTGCTGTGACATCCTTAACTACATTTGATACATGTTTGTATGTCCTGGAGTTTGCGTTTGCGATTTTGTCCATTTTAGAAGTATTTTTCAAACTTTGAATTATGTGCTTGAAAAACAGGACATGCACACCTGTGAATTTTTAATAGCCTGACCTAGATGTTGTGAAGTTGTATTTTATCTTGGCTACAGTGTATTATTGGCATTCCATTTTCACTTGGAATTCGTCAACATGCACCTTAAGAATTGTTTTTCTGTTTTCGGCTTTTTCATCTTCAATTGTATTAAAGAGAAATGACCTCTAACAAGATATCATTTAAAATTAATTTAATGTGTCATGATCAAAACAACTTTAAACAGCTTGGTTCGAGGCTTTGTTCATTGTGGTACCAAGTTTGTGCTAACAAATTGACGGTAGAATGTGTTTGTTTGCAGCATGAACAGCTTAATGACCAACGTATCCGGCGCACGGAGCAAAGGAGCTGACAAACTGAACGATCTTGTCCAAAATAGCAGCAGTTAGTAATCATATATACTATAACGTAGTTCCCTGTGGCGTCATCAAGAGTAACATGTATACATAAGCATATATATATATATTACATGTGAATGCATACAGAAAATTGTAGTCCGATTATCTTCTCTAGTGATCTATTTCCATATTTCGCCTGTGTTACATTATTGTGCCTTTTTTCCTTGCCTATGACACACATTTCTATGTGATACTAGTAGACTTTTATTCACTTACTGTTGATGATACGTCCAGAGACATTGCTTACAGTTGCATCTATAGTGGGAACATTGGTGCCATTATTTACACAAGCATGCTAGTGTACCCTTTAGGATACTCAACACTATTGACAAGGACTGATGAAAATTGTAATGGCCATCAGTAATGGGAAGAGAGGAGCAATACACATTTATGCATACTTGATATACTGCATTTTTGGCATTGTTTGTTGCTTATACATTTATTAGTATACCTTGAAAATAAAATCGTGGAAACACGCAAGGCGCATTATTATATATGGTATATTTGTTCCGCTAACGGATGGTAACAAGCAGCTGCAATTTGTTTCCGTAAACAAAATACGATGTTCCCAAAATGTGCATGTTTTAGAGGTTGACGGTTTGAAATGGTACGAACATTTTGGAAGTATTCATATTTTGTTGAAAATAATTGGCTTCATTTCTTGAATTATTTTGGTTGTTAAACTATTAAACTTTTGTTTGACTAATATTTCGACTTAAATTCGATTGACTGTTAAAGAACTCGTTAGTTATCATTAATTTTCATTTCACGTTTCCTTTTGAAATTTTTGACAAAGAAGCGCCCTGAATAATTCAAGAAATACAGGCATAAGTAGAAACAATTCAAATTGTACAAGGTTCAAGGTGAAGGCAAATTTGCCGTGTGCGCCTACTATTTTCTGTATGTATGTGTATCGTTTTGTGTGTGTTGTTGAAGGTTTCTCAGCCCAAACTCAAAATTTTAATGCACACTTCTTTGCTCAGCTGAGTTTTGTTTTCTTATTCTTAAGTCGGAATTGAGTTGAAGCTATATCAAAATATCTTTCAGTATTTAAAAGAATTGTTTCCTTTAATTCTAATTTTCTATTTTCTATTTCCATATTTTCGTTTGTTTTCGTTTTTCATATTTTTTCTAAAAAGTTATTAATGACTTCGTTTGGCTTTATTTATTTCTATCTGGGAAACCTCTTTATATGTTCACGTGTGTTATGATAGTTTAGCTATTTAATTAACACTAACATTGTCAGAGATCAAGATGCTCTCTATACTAACCAAAACATATTGAACGGGAATAGGGCATGCATTTATTACAGTTTACCCTCGTTAATCCGCATACTCTCCATTCTGTCACATAGAATCACTTCCAGAATATGTCAACCTCTAGGTGGCGAGCTTTGTATCGGAATAACGAGGTTATACTGTTCACATATCTGTCATATAAATATCTGTTCTATATTGTTCCGTCTACGTTTCACACGTCTCACGTTCAAAATTTCTATGTGAAATAGCAACATATTTATCTTAATATGACTATCAGAAATTTCAAAGATTTATAAATTTGTACATTTATTTCCCTTGCAATTAAAAAATAATTTTTATGACTGGATATAAATACAAAACCTTTCCCTTATTTGAGCAATGCCTTCATTCGCGTTGCGGAGACTACTTTCAACTGCTATAAACGTAGAATGAAGTAGGCTTCAGCTTTTCAATCTTATAGTTAGGCTCTTAATGATAACGGAAAATACATGCTTAATTTAGAATTTTCATATTAATTAGTTTAAGATAGTAATTTTCACATCAACACATTGCTTTACACTCAACCCTAAACAATGTTATAGAAGGAACACACACAATCTAAATAACTGAAGACATCAGTTTTACAGTGTAAATGGATAGTCATACATTTAGTTGATAATATGCTGTCCTTTAGACTAAGTTCTAAAGCATGTGTGGATGAAGACAATAGACCTACATAACCTTTTATAGAATGCCTTGGATATCGTGCTTTGGAATAGTGTTGCCTTTACTTACCCTATCAAAACGTTTGGCGGCTTGAAAGCTTTGCGGTAGCCATGCTTAACGGATGATGTGGTGTGGGATACCATAGACGAAAGAGAAGACCTTAGCGGGCATGTGGATAATTCAGCGGTTCTACACTGGATCACTGCTGATAAACTATTGAAATGTGGAAGTTTGACATTGCTTACAACGTCTATCAACTTCAAAGTTGAATAAGAAGATATCGAAATGATTTCGTCACAGACACTTTAGTGTTTGAATCTTCGCGTATATACGTTGATATTGAAAATAAAAATAAATAAGATTGCTACGTTGTCGCCACGGGGATGTTTTGGCATCACGCGTAAGCTTGAATATCAAGATCAAATAATTCAAGAATGATATCTTAATTAATTGATCGGTCTAGATTTTACCGGTAATATAATTCGAAGAAAATTTCATTCAAATCGAATATGGATCTAGTTGGAGAGAAATCGTAGCTTTTATACACGCAAAGGGAGGTCACCATTGAACATATCACGGTAAGTACATGGTACATGCTTTGCAATGTATGGCTATTGCAACCTTTGCTTACGGCTGAGGCATGACTACTAGCTGGGACTGAAAAATAGAACGCATGCCATTTTCAAGTGGATGTATTTGTAATGAAAAGATATGTTAAAACTATAGAAAGAGAATATGGAGAACAAAAATGAAAAAAAATCTGTTCTAAAAAAAGGCGGAAGCTTCTACAGTCAAAGTTCGTCAAGCGGTGGATTTAGAAGTGGAGGTGGAGGTGGATTTAGAAGTGGAGAAGGATTTAGAAGTGGAGATGGATTTAGAAGTGAAGGATATAGCGACGGCATGGTTGTGGGAGATGATTCAACGGCTATGTCAGGTGAAGTACCACTTGCACTGACACATCGCTGTAAGATGTGTCGACATCGTAGTTTATTGAGATACTAACCAAACGACTTCGACAATGTATTAGGTACAGGCACATTTTCTACTAATAGATGTGGTTGTTATTATTATGTGTGATAGCCGTAGAGCTGAAACATTGTGACAATACAACACAACAAAACATCATTGTAAACAATAGAGAACATCTATTTATGACAACAATGATAATGATGATATAGTCTAGACATTTTATTGTTAAATGAAAGTTAATTCCAACATTAGCAAAATAATTAGACGCGGGAAATCCTGATGAAGGTGGAGAATAAAGGACCCATAAACTGGGAAATGAAAAAAAAACGGGGTAAGGCTTTGTAAACTATCAGATTTCATGAGAGGAGTGAGAGGACATATTGTAGGAGGAACCGAAAGAACTGATGTATGAATTTTACATTTTTTTTTTTTTTACAAAAGTATGATAAATCAGGAACGATTGAATTGATATTTCAAAAGGGGAGGGGTAGATAGCTATCAGGGAAATGTGTAACAGATACGAGGATTTGTACCATAGATCAGGGAGGACTTATATCCAGAGTAATAATCTCCGAGGACATATAGATGTCATTGGGTAGGTTCGCAGCGGAACTGGGAGACCTACTCTAGATCTGACCAAGATAAAACGGCAATAAAACCGGAATTTCTGTAACATATAGATGGCGTGGGAATATAGGATGGGACTAAAACGGGTAGACAAACATGTTTGATTTCAGGTTAAACTACTATGTCAAATGGGAAATGTATATTAGAAATGGAAGGATTTTTGCTGTCTAAACTGAAGCCAAACTGAGAGTAAGGAACCTACCCTGTGTGATTTTATGACCTGAATGGTGTCTTACACTAGCCCACTATCCCATAAATTAGCTTCTGAATCAGTTAGTATATCCATAGAAGCTAATTATACAACTGAGTATATATCAGCTGCTGTACTTGCAGATTTGTTTTCATTGTTGTGTTTATAATTTCATTTAAGCTATTTGAATATGAATATATTAATGACTATATATATAGTTGTCAAGTTTAAATTTTGGATTTAAGTCTGGCTAAGTGACAAAGAGACGTTTATACAAATCCAAATTCCATTAAAAAAAACTTCAAAACGAAATTCAAAAGCAAAGGAAGATATGGATATGTTAAAAATTAGAGTTTAAACTCTAAATTGATGAAAACGTTGACAAAATATGAACACGAGAGTTTTACATAGAGACCCTTCAAATACAAAGGCAGTCCGACAGTCGCAAAGTAATTAAAGGTTCAACTATTTGAAATGATAATAACAACATATTACTAATCATATCTTGTATATCAATCGTTATAAAACTAATATCTGGTATAAAACAGAAACATCAAGAAGAGAATGAGGAACAAGGGCTGCAACTGAGAGACAGATTAGTTATATTGAGGTTCAATATATGTGGGAAAATGTTGTGAAGGGCTTAAACGAGTTTCTGTAAGAACTATGTAGAGTGTGAGCTGGAAATGAAAGTGTTCTAACTTTGAAGAGTGTGAATAAAATATCACTTAGTTTATATTAATTATTTTCACAATCTATGTGATATATGAATTTGAAAATCGTACTTTTTGTAAGTGATATATAAGTGTAACTTACTCTAAATAATCAGGAAAAAAGTCTGTTCATTGTGTTTGTGGTGTTGTGCATGGAACTGTTTGACACTTTGTGTTACACAAAACTAATAACCCCGTAACTAATATCATCAGGAGACATAACGGCTATTGGAAGGATTTCCCTAGGTAGACATGCTAGAGATATAACTGGTTTTAACCTCAGTTTCAGAATCTGAAAGCAATTATCATTTCTTTTTATTAATTCTATTTTGCAATATTCAATCAATCTGATTTAATTGCAATATTTTATACATGTTGTTGAAATATACGGAACCTGAAACAAAGGAACGATTTCAATGTTAAAAAAAGAAGTGCAGGAAGACCATAAAAAGCATGTGAGATTGACGCCATGAAACATTATTAGAGTATTAAATAATTTGGACAATGAAAACAGTTATTGTATATTTCCTATAATGTGTTGTAATAAGTTAACAGCTCTTAGTAAATAGAAAGGTCACGCCTTTGAAATAATAGATGAGTAATCAGTTGGTCAAGTCACACTCTGTCAGACTGCAGACCGTATTGAAACCCCCTCATCTCGAGTATGAACAAAATGTTTTGAAGTCGTAAATACATAGAGTTGCGAATTAAAATATCTAAATACAAAATATCGTATTTCTATATTCGTATGTATTGTTGATTAGGCCAAAGTCAAACCAAAATGGGCGACGCAAAAGTCTTAATCAGGAAGAAGTCATCAGGACCTCTATGTATCGACGAAGCACAGGGTGGTGGCGCATTTGTTACACTTGCCTATACCACAAAGGATAAGAAAACAACGGTAAGTGGACACGGAATCACTATGCTCAACAGATACACAGAATATCTCTAACACAATAATATCGCATGCGTTTATCAAAATAGGTCTAGAACAAGTGGATTTGGTGGTGGGATGACTTGGCCGAAAGCACATATCAAATCAAAAACATTTTCCCACAACCACCCGTGAATTTTATAAATGAGTTTAACATATATCCATAAAAAAATCACATTGAAGCAATCTGGGAATAGAGAAATTTTATATTAACAATCCAACATGGACGTCAATGACTACATCGATGTCTCTAAGCGGTCTTACAAAAGCTTAATGTGTCATTATAAAGCACTAAAACCTTAATAATTTGCTTATAGAAAAATGCAGCTCAGCTTTTGAAGGTAAGATATCCCCGATTTCAAAACATGACTTTTTTTTAACACTTCACCATCTGTACCGTAGTAACTCTTTAGAAGTAACTTCATTATAAACCTTGTGATAGTAATGACAACATCGCTTCTATTGCGATATGCCTATCGTAATGACAACCACAACGATTTATCTTTCGCGATGACAACCACACACAATTGCACTTGTCGCTATGGTAAGAATACACAATTGTTCTTATCGCTATGACAACCAGACGCTTTCCCTAGTACCTTCATGAAAACTGTTAATATAAATCGTAGGTACATATACTGTAAAAACAATTTAATTTATCCTGATGACAATCTCACAGATCTCAATGACACCTACTCGTGTCGTGATGACCTCACAGGTCGGAATGACACTCACTCGTGTCATGATGACAATCTTACAGATCTTAATAGCACCTACTCGTGTCGTGATGACAAAGGCCAATATCATGATGGCAGACAAATAATATGACGAAATGATGAAAAACCGTGTTTCCAATAGTAGAAATAATATCAAATTAATAATAACTAAACCTTATAAGCTTATTTTGATAAAATCTGTGGTTCTTAACTTATGTTTCATCTGATGAAGGTGTTAAATTTATTTAGAAATCACTCCTAAACATTTTCATTCTCTAATAATTAATATTAATACATATTTGTGTAAATATAACAGATTGCGAAATTGGCATATAAACATATTCAAGTAAAGATTATGCATGTACTAACTCAGTTGTTACCAATTAATATTATCACTAATTTTTACTAAAGTGCATTCCCAGATGGAATGTGTCTTTTCGGGTCGTTGGTAAACTAAATCATGCAGGTGTTACTGGGGATCTGGGGTCAACATATTAACCCTACTCTCCTACTTTTTGTGTCAGACTATTGGTACCTTTCTTTACATTTGGTATTTAACACATGTGGTGCCCTAGCAAAGCTTAACTTCATTATCCGGTTATATAATGATAACTTGAACGCATTTTTCTTGTGTGTCAGTCCTTAAAGTCATGGCATCGTTAAGTTGCTGGGATAATTACACATGTGTGTATATAAAATTGCAATCGTTTCGACAAGGCATACTGTTAGATATTCAAATACTCTAAAATTACCCTTTGATTTTGAGACTCTGCCAGAAGACATTATTCCTTTCAAGTCTTGGTCATCATAGAGAAAAAAAAAACATTTGGTTAACATTATTTTGTAGTAGTAATCCCTCAAAAAGTACAAATACAAGAAATATAATGATCAAACAGTAAGGATGAGAACAAGCTATTCTAGGTATTGCTAAATAACCAATATTTGTTTACACTGTTTTCATTACAGAATATTTTATCGTTAACACATTCAAATCAACGGGAATCGGTCAACAGGCAGAACACATAAGTATCTACTCCATTCGATCATACCTTCATTAAAATAAAAATCGATACAAAATATATATCAATGAGTTGATTATGTATGCACCTGTTATTATAGTTTGTCAAAAGAAACGTGTAAGATTATTGGTATATGGAGATATATTTTGCATATCTCATCATTTCATTTTGAATGTTCCTTTCAATGTTCGTAGTTGATCATGGTGATAGCCTCCTCATATGTCAACAATTTTCAAGCCTTCATCAACTTGCTAATATTCCATTTCTTAATGTGATATGAAACTGGATGTGTTTGATGCTCATTGGTTTGCCTTTTGGGTCATTTGAGAACGTGATATTTCTCACTTGGATTGGCCAAGATTTGCATGGCGGGTGTCGTTTTTGAAGCAGAACATGCTTTCGTTTCTGGAACACTTGGTCTTATTCCGATTGCACTTTTTCAGGAATCTCCGTGTAAATTTTTTTTTTCATAGTATGCCGAAGGTTGTTGAAATTTTTGTTTGGATTGTGACTATGTTCACATGTTGGTAGTTTCTTGAAGTGTTTTGTCCTTACAGCGGTCGTTTATGCAAATTCATTAATCAAACATTCATGCCAAGTATGATTACTTTAGAGGGATGTATTCATCATGATATTAAGGAGTGGTTTCTGTAGTCACTTGATGCCTGAATAAGATTCTTGATCAACTTATTAATCTGTGTACTATGTAGCGTTGCCATGAATCGTTTACTCCATCGTCATCAAGCTGTTCTGACCTTTTTTCAGCCCATAAACTTGATCGGATGGAAAGTCTGCCGAACCATGCAAGAAGATAAGAACCCTTGCTGCACCTATGAATTCACAAGTGATTGTGTCATGCATCCAGGTGGAAAAATTAAGGTGATACTGTATTCCAAATAAGGCATACGTTTCTTGGAGTCTAAATATTGAAAAATAGTAATATACCAGAGCTTGTTTTAATGAATTCTACACACACATATTCAATTTTAATGCAGCCAATGAATGAAATAGTCTTTTATGCAGTATTTATAAAAAAAATTGTGTTGACTTACTAGTGTTAAGAAATATATTATTTTTTGGATTTATATTTGTAAAAGTTACGCATTTTAGTGCAAATGTTTAATTAAGGCTCGCAAAATACAAAATTTCATCGCGTGCGAAAACTACAACAATATATCACTGGTAGACGGTGAGGGAATTTCCGTGTGAAATGCTGTTTTAGAATACAGATGTAGAGTTTTTCTTTCTTTGTAGATTTTTGGTTCAAATTACGCCAAAGATGCAAACAAAGGGAAAGGTGATCTGGTTGCCAACTTCGGATCATGGAAAAGTGGAGGCGGAACTTTTAGTTTGATTGATGCAAATAAGGTAATTTAGAAGTAGTCGTACCCTATATCTACTAACGTTTGAATAAATAGTTGAATTTTCAAAACCTACATTTGACACTGAGCTAAATATCATGAGAAAATGACTTGATTTGCGTTTGTCTTGTTTCCCCAACTTTACACAGAATTATTTGATTTATTTTACGTGATAAGTGTTCTGATTCAGTTGTACATATTATCACTCTCCTGACTGATATAGGACAAGTTTCTTGAGAACATTGTGTATAGTTACAATGCCTTATTAAATGTACCGTTTGTAATGGGTACTATGATCATTGTATTTCAGGCTGACAAAAGCTCCCTTATCATCGAATTCAGCTAAACAAGCGGAAACGGCATGCAAACGAAGAACACAAGTGATATGTAGGCGTCCGTGACATGTAGAAGTCGTGACTTGTCTTTAATGAAGCGACTCACCCTAGTGGCGTTGGCCACCTCTTTGCTTAACCCACGTCACCATTTGCGCCATAGTGTACACGGGTTTTATATAATGCTTTTAATGCTTTGAAATGGCACCATGCCAGGTTTTGTAATCAATTGGTCACTAGTGTGAAGAGTCTGGGTGGAGCAAACACCTCCATCAAGGATACGAGATCAGCCCAGCGCTGAAAGGCAGAATTAATGGAAATGACTTTATGTGTTTTCATAATAAGATATATACATTGTTATGTGTTGATATATCGTATTTTACATTTCACCTTCATAAGTGAGCAAGTTTGTTTTTTTAGATAAATTCATATTACATAGACGTAGATTAGGTAAAGAATTCCTTTTATATATTATTTTTTTTGGTAAAAAAATATATGCATTGTAAATACGTTGATATGAATATTTTATGAGCTCTTATTGACGGTTGTGATTTAGTATAAAATATATGCCGAACCTGTGTTGTGCCATTATCCAGTTCGGACAATGATACAATTCTGACATTCCTATCATAGAAAGCAACGAAAGCATACATCAAAAAGTACTATAGAAATGAAGATATTATGTAAGCATTTTTGTTTTAGAAAGGTTGTGATTTTAAAAAGATGCGATCAGTTATTTCGTTTGATTTTGAAGGAATCAGCCTTGTCAAATTAAATATTGGAATATATAAACATCTCTGTGTTTTTATAACGTGGTTGAGTTAAAACATTTATTTGCTTATTTAATGTTGTTATTCAGTTGCTGTGGTGAAAACTGCGGTAGTTGCCTATCAGACATTCTTATAGAGCGATATTATTGTAAAGGTAACGACAATTTGTCTTCCTGCATCAATCAAACATGTACACTCAAGTGACTTCTAATCTTCATAGACAAACGTATCTAGACTTGTTTGCGGTTATTCTTTATAGCATATTACTGTATGTGCAAATTATATTTTAATAAATTTTATCATGCGTTATAATCTGCATTGAGTTTTCATTCATATCTACTGGGGGATATTGATAAGTTTTCTTTTTTTGACATCAATTCTGTTTTTCTTCAAATACTCATGAAAGTCTGTTATACCAAAGAGGAACGTTGGTAGTGACTTTGGTTAAAATTGTTAAGTAAGAAAAGAGTTCCTCGCCGGCAGTGGGAAAGTATTCCAATAAAATCTGTTTCCTGTTGGAACCTATTGATATTCATCTCGTTCTAGAGAGCGAAAATGTGTTTCTTTTGATGATATGTAACAATTAACACTATAAAGAGAAGATGTTTGTGATGACTATGCACTTTGCGTCATTACTTTATTCATATGCATATTCACATAAATCTTTCTTCATAACGGACCCCTTGATCGATATTGATGTTCTTTCCAGCGCAATCTTATGATTTCTCTTTTTCTGTAGAAATGTAACAAATGTATCCATGATAGAAAACGACATCATTCATTTCCTTAGCGATCGTACACTAGTATTTTTTTCATTTACATATCAATATTTATTTGACAAAATTACATATTCGGTTGGAACGAATTTTCTCCGTTAAAGAAGAGTAAACAATAAGAGATCTTCCAGAATTTTTTTAGGAAAATTTAACGCAAATGTAACTCATTATGGAAACCTCTAAACGCACATCATACAGAATGACACACATACATATGAAAGTTCGTAAATATCAGTCTATGTATGCACCATATCATACAGATATTTGCAGACTTATGCCTAATGCCTACGTACGGACTCATACCGCAGATGTGTGGAAGTTTAGGATAACAAAAGTGGACACATTGCAGTATAACGAAACATGAAAAACTCACTGGAATCTAATTTCGGATGATATATTAATTTTTTTTCTGATGTCAACACTGCATTTTTACCAAGAGATTCGATAAATCTCATCCCAATGCAGCTAGAAAAAATATGGTTTTCTGTCGATAAGCATTTCCAGTAAACTAAGCATTCAGAAACCGTTGACCGAATAATGCCATTTGATTTTTATCACCAAGGGGGTTCTCGGATAGCCGTAAGTGGGATTTCTGACATTAAGGTCCATTAGGTCCGGTGATTACTCTGCAAATGCATCATCTTTAATGATGAATTCATATATCTTTAATCTGATAGAATACTAAAATTGTACAATAGACACACAAGTGAATTAACACCGTCTATTACAACTTTATAGTTAGATACCTTAGCAATAAAGATGAATTAAATTCGATCCTATATAGGTTTCGCCCTTCTAGGATTCATCAGTGATGTAAGAGGTCGAAATTTTGAAGTAACTTGAGACATGTTCAAATTGATCGAAAGAAAAATCCATATCAATAAAGACGATATGCACTAACCACATTATCCATAAATTTCATAATATTCATATTTCTGATAATTCAAGATTCAAGAACATGAAAATACTCTGAGCCGTGCCACTATTCGATTGGATTAAAATGTGGTAAGCAGCTAAGGCAAACCTCGAGGACTAGAATTCTACCAGCAGTGTCTACAACCGATACAGAAGTGAATAGCATTTTTAAACACAACTTTAGAGTTAGTTACAGTAGGGTCAAAAATGAATTAAACTGCATTTTGGTCCATCTAGAACTCGTCAGTGATGCTAATGGCTTAAATTTTGAAGCCTAAGAAGTGACTGGGGAAGTCCAGATATCAAACGTTAATATCCACCTGGGGAGGAACACTTGTCCCATAATTCAGTAAAGTTCGTGAATTTCATACAGCTGATAAATTTACAAGAGCATCATGTCAGAATCTTCCAAAGTCAGGATAACAATATTCCTTTGATGTTGTGTAAGCTAAACGAAATAGCTGAAAGACTGATTTTTAAGAAGTGTTTGGTTTTAAATTATTGCCAAGACTTTGGTATGTCTCGGCCGAGTGTCAGATCCCTAAACGTTCCTCGCAAGGGCAAACGGTCAAGCATGAAACAACATTGACATTGTGAAAATGGAGAGGAAAAAAAACAGTCGTAAAAATAGAAGAGAAAAGATTAAATCCCAAAAGTAGGACCAACGGTGGCAGATACTCTTACATCCCACCTGCAGTAAATAACTCCGAAGAGGATATAAAGATTTACGTAAATGTAAAATAACATTTTAACGGTACAAAATAAGTGTCTGGCTCTTAAATGATTCCGAATTAGAACTGGTTCTTACGATACAGTTCCATCATCAAGAAACAGAAGGATTTGTTTGTCTATCTTTAATGCGATGTAGTTATTTACACGCAATATACCTCTACTTTCAAATCTATTGTCGATGTCAACAAATACATATTTTTTTATTTTATGTTATGTTCTTCATTGTAAAAAATTACTTTACACTTTCATACGAGTAATTAAAACTACATATAAACTTGATCTGTTTTAAACAGGCTTTAAGCTTATATCAGTCTCTCGTGTTTGTCTGGATGGAATACATGGGGGAAATTCAGGTGGTCGAACCACGGACACCTAGGTAAAGACAGGCTCCAGTATTTGACGGGATTCCAGACAAGAAAACGCGAGCTGTAGTGAAAGAAAAAGTATTACAGAATTATTTAGTAGTCTCAACCACGAAGAAGAGTTGTTAACTGTCGATGCCGCTATAATGATTATAAATAAAAAACCAAGAAAGGTCTCCGAAATTATAATTTGATGAAAATCTATTCACATTGATATAACGATTGATTAGGCCCTACAAAAATACATTTAACTATTTCTTATTCAAGTAGAAAAATTTCAGCACTCAAACCACAACATTTTATTTACCAGCACCCGAATTATCGCGGTCTCTCAAGTTTTCGAACATTAGTAAGCACATTTCCTTCATTGGTTTATGAATAAATAATGGTATTCCAAGAGGAAGAAATGTGCATTCAAAATCTTACATTGATAGACAGTTGGTGTAATGTGCTGTTAACAATACCAATGTCACCAATAAAGGACATTCAAATTTAATCCTTAATCATTTTGGACTTTTGTGAAAGGAAAAGGATATGTTCAGTGGTTATTTTTTTTGTAGAGGTAGTGTAATAACTGACGGATTTAGACAAAAAGCTACTGGGAGGAACATCCTAATTTTACACCAACACAAAGAAATAACATTCTTCATGATCTTGATGTAAACAGAAAGTAAAGTGCGACGAAAGAGCCCTTGTTATTTTAGTTAACAAGTGGATGCAATATTTCAGATACTGTCTACTACAAATACGACAAATTGAAGCTCGTGCTTGTTGTAACTTTTGAAAAATAACTCACGAGAGGGAAAGACTAAATATAACAACTACTTGTTTATGTGACCTATTTTAACCATATAAGGGAAGTATTCACTCGATTAATTGACCTGTGCTGCACCCACGTGCTTTTTTTTATCAATTTGGGCGTTATGACATGATCTGAAGTAAAATGCCATTGATGAATATGAGAAATGAACAATTTCGGAAACATGCGGAAATACCATAATTTGTTACAAATTATGATAAGTTATAAACGGGTTCATGATCTCCAAAGCAATAATTTTAAAAAGAAATCCAGATACAGTTCAACCTTTTATTTACTAAACAATAGCGATCTACATTTTACGCGTCTTATATTGTCCATAATTCACAGCTTACGTATTTTATTTCAACATATTTCATTGAACATAAGTGGCAATAGAATTGGGCACAAGTTTAATAATGTATATAAAGCCCTTTTCAAACATAGTAATACACACAATTATATTTATAGGGTGGCAGTATGTTATGATAACAATTATAAACAAGTTGAGAGAGAGAGAGAGAGAGAGAGAGAGAGAGAGAGAGAGAGAGAGAGAGAGAGAGAGAGAGAGAGAGAGAGAGAGAGAGAGAGAGGGTGGAGGAGGGAGGGAGAGAGAGAGAGATACATAGAGACAGGGAGAGAAACAGAGAGAGAGAGAGAGAGAGAGAGAGAGAGAGAGAGGGAGAGGGAGACAGAGAGACAGAGAGAGGGTGGGGGAGGGAGAGAGAGAGAGATACATAGAGACAGGGAGAGAGACAGAGAGGGAGACAGAGAGATAGAGAGACAGAGAGAGAGACAAAGAGAGAGAGAGGGACAGAGACAGAGACAGAGAGGGGTGTGGAACATATATTTTGGTTATTGAAAATATTTTGTATCTATGTAGATCATGCATCTGTGCCACGTATCATTTGTACATCGTCGACGCTGGAGTTAATGCCCCTTGAACGTTGTTTGTACTTATGTTTTAACTGCTACCATAAATCGGCTCCCCCTCCATTTCCCGGTATTTTACAACCATGTTCTTGCTCTTTATTAAGACCTACTCTTTGTTTTCAGTCAATGTTCGGCGATGAAAAACTGCTTTTGTCGAAGATTTAATAATTAATAACAGAATCATTATGAAATAAAGTATACATTTATTATTTAGAAACTGATATCGGCTATCATGAAGAAAGGGCGCAGTCTCATAAAATTACCAAATATCGATTTCGTTATTTTGTCTTAAAAGGTGTTACTTTATAATTCAACATATAACCTACAGTTTTAAGAACTCCGAATATTATGGTAATATCCTAAGCGATACTGTAATACCAGTAGACTTTTACTCAATATTATGACACCAACCATTTACGGAAGAAAAGTGAGTAAACGTCATGATCTGTAAGGCTGATAACATGAAACGCATGTTGTATGATGATTTGAAGTCTCATTAAGGCTGTGACAACGTCTAAATGTTATTAAAGACATGTGAGACATATATATTAATTAAGGGCTGGTACTGGTGAGCAAACGACGACAAGATATTGTAGGCCAATCAGCGCGTTAGTACTGGTGAGCAAACGACGACAAAATATTGTAGGTAAAACAGCGCGTTAGTACTATTGAGCAAACGACCACAAAACATTGTACTACAAACAGCGCGTTAGTACTGGTGAGCAAACGACGACAAAATATTGTAGGCCAAACAGCGTGTTAGGACTGGTGTGAAAACGACGACAAAATATTGTACTA